GGTATTAGGGCCTTACCCTTGTGACCTCGTTTAACCTTTAGTACTTCTTGATAGACCCTATCTCCAAATATTGTCACACTGGGGCTTAGGGCCTCAACGTGTGGATTTGGGGGGGACACAATTCAGCCCATATTAAGTACGTACAATTTTTATTTGCTAATTGTTACCAAATTGCTCTCCCAAGAAGTTTTATCAGATTTAACCAAATATATCAAATCTCTAAGCGACAAACTTCGGAAAATTTGAAAAACTTTGAGATCTTAATGATCTAGACAAAAAATTGGAACTTGTGATTTTATCCATATTTTTACCATTGTGTTTGAGTGGCTTTTTATCTATTTAAAATCCATATTTATTTTTTTATTTACTTTCTTACTTTTTCTGACAGAAATGAGTGATTGAGCTGAAATGGTCAAGAACACCTTCAGAGGTGAAGACAAAGAACTTAGAAGATGTGATGACGACCAGATTCACTCGAGATGACTGTAGGATTCTGAATATCAGGAAGGACTGTGGACCTAAAGCCAAGAAAGGTTTGTACTCAGAGGAGTGACAGAGCAGTAAGCGGATGGCATTACCAAGAATGAGAAGTCTGCTGCATCCGAAAAAGCATCCGCCTCGGTGGCGTTTGAGATGCAGTTTCACAGCTAACAGATACTCTCCAGATTCTCATGAAAGACTATATACCACGGTTTCCACCTTCAAAGAGTGTCTGGTCAGATCGTGCACCTGTATTGTCACGATTAAATCATTCTTTTGATACAACCACTCAAAAGAGAGAGAAATAATTTATCTGAGACTTCTAAATATAAAATTCTTCTTATCTTTTTAAAAAAACAAAACAGTTCTGCCATGGAAGATCAAACATTTACACAACATGTCTGGAGCAACATTTAGTCTCACGGTAATAACTGCAATGTTTTCAAAAGGATGAGGTCAAGGTTAAAATTGGTGCTTAATACTTATAAATATTCAACACCGTCGCCTCTGTTCTCAAAGGGTATTAATAATTCACTGCAAAGTTTCTTTTTCTTGAAGATATTAAATGTAGGCATTTTCATGTATTTATTTATCCCTCTTTCTTATGCATTTATTTTGCATTATTTACAACCCAGGAATTTTAAAGGGTTAATTTTTTAAACAAGAACACTTCAATTTTCTTAAACCACATCTACTGTAGATCATTTAAAATACTTCTCCAGGCCAAAGTGTTGCTACTAAGGAAATTGCTTGAGAAGTTTCTTTTTGAAACAAAAATGCAATTTTAATTAGAAAAATTAAAGATGTAAAAGTTTTCCCTGAGATCATGCCAGATTACAAAAATTTTATCTTCTAAACTTTACATCGCAATGAAAAGGGGTCAGAACTACTCTTGCTCTGAGCAATTTTCTTGACATTTTGTTATTTACATAAAGTAAGCTTCCGACAACTTCCAGGATGGCCACACGAGGAGCCTGGCAGACCTGCTTCCCTGTGAAATGACCCTTGAATCCATGCATTGATTCCATCTCTGCCACCACAGCCACTTAGCTCATGGGAGCATTAAGCAAAGAATGCGATGGCTACGAAGAAGGGATGACTGACATCCCCAGAGTTCATCGTTTTGTTCACTTGATCATCAAGGGCCACCTCTGCACTAGTGGGAGCCATTTTCACAACCACTAATATCTCCACAGCCTGTGCCCATTCTGAAAAGTCCACCCACACACTTCTTCCCTAACCTCTCTTTTCATCAGTTTTCCAATATTGTTCCTTCCAAATCCCTGACCATTCCAACCAAACCATTTGCGAGCACCTGAGAGTTAATACAGACCTGTATTTCTGGACATTTCTCATTCCTGAGTTGACAGATGACCAAATGTCACACTTGACGTTCTGACCACAAAGAGGATTCTCCTTTATCACCGTCCTATACGATGACCCCTGAGTGAGGCTGCGCTTTCAAGCAGTACCAGCATATCATGAAGAACCATCTGTAAACGAGACTCCGGGTTTTTCTTCCTCCGTCAACCGGTTCCAAGGAGATTTCCAGGAAGCCATTTTTGTAGGTTTTCCTCCTGGGACAATTCTTAGTACTAACTCTGTATTGTTTAGGGTCCAGTCAGTAGACAGGACCACGTGGTCACTGGAACAGGGGAAGTTTAATATAAAGCTTTATTAACAGGGGGACTGGAGGAAGGGGGAATTGGCCAGTGAGAGTTAAAAAGAATTCTAAAGATAATTGGAATAGTAGATATAAGATGTGACCACTCCCCCTAGGGTTGTGGTAATTCCCCAGGGAAAAGCCTTCCCCTGCTATGGTTGAGAACAAGATGTCACTGGAAAGAGGACCACTTTGGCTTCCTGAATGGTGGCAAGGTCAACGGAGCAGCAGTGGGACCTGCTGGGAATTCACCCTGTGGGAGGTGCCAAGCCTCAGAAACCATTAGGCGTCCGGAGAAGCTACTGGACACTGTTGGCACCTGGAGCTTGACAGATCCCTCCCTCCAGGAGCTTAGTGCTCTTCCATGTCCAGCTTATGCTGGGTCAGCTCTAGGCTGGCTGTGCAGGACAAAGGTCAGGGCATGGCTCACCTCCAGTGCCCCTGACGTGTGTCTGTGTCTGGGACTGAGGGGAGGATGTGGGGTGTAGTAACCTGGGCTGGGAATAGGCCCACAATATCTGGGTCTTTAGACCATGCCTCCATCGCTGCATGAGTTTGGTCAAACACCGTAACAAGCTGTGCCCTTCGGAAACCTTACACTAGAGAGACTTTGCAGGGGCTGAACAAAGGAGGAAAAAGAACTCTCCACAGAACGCTAGTAAGAGAGCAGACCAGGAAACCCTCCTCCTCCAATGTCCTTCCGGGCCCTCTACTGACGTGGCTTAACATCATACGGGGTAGCAGAGGAGAAATATGGCTAAGTCCCAGCGCCGTTATTACACAGCAAGCAACAGGAGCCATTTTGAAGAGAAGAGGCAAAAAATCAACCATCGGCACAATGACTGTGTTTCTCATTTTTGGTTTTTTAGTTCTTTTTCATAGTATCGTAGTTATTTTTATTCTTTTTATTTATCAAGTAATTTATATTTTTGGTGAATTGTTTAAAGTCCTTTGAGACTCTAATCCTTTTAATAGTTTTGTACAGCAGTGCTGGCATGTGGTAGATTGTTTCCTTGAACGTTTTTAATTTGGTAGATTGTTTCCTTGAACGTTTTTAATTTGGATCCCAATCTCATCCGCAGAATGGCTTTATCTGTAGAGACTGGGCCGGAAGTGGGGTGAGAGGAGAGATTCTGGGTTTGCTTGTACCAGCGCTCCCAAGGGGATATCATCACTCACCCAGGGTCGCTTGCAATTTTTTGAATTGTGACTTCCTGAACTGTGGTCAAAATTTTTCAGGAAGAGATCTCTCCTACTTTGAGCTTAGGCTGATCCAGAAGAGTTTCATTATTGAGTGAATATTTTACAGATTTCCATTTCCATTATTCTTTCATGATAACTCAAACTCACACTTTCAGATTATTGAGGCCAGTCCTACCCATCCCTTGCCCCACGCTGGAGGCCAGCAGAGTATCAGCTCAAACGTTTAGTGGCATTCTCTCACTTAAGCTGACTTTGTTTCTTGCCCCTGGAAGTCAGTTACTTCCCTGTAAGCTTATCTATGCATTTAAAAGATTCTTGACATAGTTTGTCAGGATATTCAGTGGAAGGATTATAGAATTATCTACTCTGCTAAATTCCAAGAACCAAGAATCCTCAAATATCCTTATAAATCCTCTTTTCTCTTTTTTAAGGCAACAAATATAACACTTTCTTTCAGTGTACTTTAAATTACTTACCGCTTACTACCTACCTTGAGTAAATTATGAAATCTCAGCTTGCCACAGCAGCAACTATTCCTGGTCCTCTGGCAGCCACATAATCTGAAGGATGTCATGATTTATCCTTAATGGAAAAGACAGATTGGGTTTGCTTTTCCTGATCAACAAGTTTCTCCTGACACGATCAACACTGAACTTACTGGCTGGTTTATTTCCCATTAGTTTTCACACATAACATTTTTTTTTCTAATCAATTAAATCGCCTTCCAGCAAAAGAAGTAAAGCTACTGGACAATGCCAACGGGGTGACTTGTTTTATCATGAATCCCATTACCAGG